ACTAGGAAAACACCCTTGTATCTGTAAAGCAACAGGTGGAGTGAAATCATTTTAGAACAGGCTGCTCAGTGAGGTCTTGTCAAGTTGAGACATTCCCAGTACACTGTTGCTTGAAAGGTATGCTGCTAACAAAAAGATATTATTAAATCTGGTTTATGTAGGAGGGTGCATGTCTGTCAGCTATACAGTGCAGCTCCTAAATAAGAATTTGCTGTTCCTGATGTAACTTTAACACAATGTATCTTCACCTCTGCATGTCTGATGTTCTGTGCCTCATCTCCACTGTGCCTGCTTGCTATGAGCTGTACCAGTTTACTGTCGGATCATGTAAAAAATAGTACTAATTCTACCAGAATATTTTGAGTCTTCTCCCCTGTTGTTCTTATACTCTCCTTTTTTTTTTGCTTTAACACTCTAAATCATAGTGAAAAAGTGAGTTGCTTCTTATTTTGAAATCCAGAGAATAGAGAATTGAGAACTGTCATTATATGATAAATTCATCACTAAAGCAAGTAAATGTTCACCTGAATGATTTCTTCTAATATCCAGTCTTAAATCTCTTGGGTTGCTCCTCTATTCCAGTAACCATCAGTTGACATAAAAATATGCAGCCACACATAAGTTGCTTTTTTCTTGACCACTGAAAATCTCTCTTGCTTCTCTATGCACACCCTTTAAGATCCCCAAGGCTGACAAACTAACTGCTCTTAGTTGAGTGAAGTTGGTGCATTTTGAACTTTTGGTGTCATTTTCCTCATTCTTCAAGGGGGCATCATAGAATGTACACCCTGAAACCATCTTAGATATCACTTTTCAAATTGGGAAGGGGAGACTCATGTGAGTTGGGGTTTAACCTAAGGCCATGTAGATACTTGTTGGAGATGAATTGCTCAGGTAAATATCTTTTCTGTAGGTTCATGAGATAGTGTGGTCTCTGAATCCTAACAGTAGACACTCCGTGGAATTCCAGTTTTTATTTGGAGAGGAATTTGAATTGATTCCTTTGGAGTTGTGTGTTTTGCGGTGAACGATAATCAGACTGGTATGTAGAGAGAAAGGAGAAGTTATTTTTTTTTCGGAGTTAAAGATTGTGAGTATTCCTCAGGGATGTAGACTTCCCTAAACATGCTCATACAGGTTGAAAAAGAAACCTGGATGCCACATAAGCCCCAAAGCCCCATCTATTGTGTGTGTTCGTTTTTGGTCTTGTTCTGCTGCCCCTCCTCTCTACTTTTGCCGGATACGGACATACATCTTTTTCTTCTATGCATTTTCATGTTTGAGACTTGGGACTTCAGTGTAGAAATGAATATTACTCACTGGTCTCCTTGTTTGTGATTTATATTCTTCTAATGTTTCTTGGGTGTAGGAGCCATGGAAAGGGAAAAACTGAGACTGATTCTGATTTTTTTTTTGTTTTTCTCAGACTCTTTAGGGACCAATTTTCCTGTGTGTGTGTGGTTTTTTTTTTTTTTTTTTTGATCTCAGGGAGAGACCTCCTCTGTCTACAATGGATAATGGATTTACCATAGTCTAGTACCACAACGTGTTCAGAGGCTGTTTGGGAAATACTAATAATACACAAGTGCCACTTTGCTCAGAATGGCCAGCCTATACTGGCTCTCTGCCTAGACTGAGACTTTCTTCTCTCATCGTCTACTCTGGTCCCCCTGCAATTTTTCTGGGGCCAGTTCATTTGTAGTTTTAAATAGGGAGCAGTGAATTCTGAAATAGTCTTTCTGATTTAAGCCTGGATGCTTGTTCATCTGAAGATCTTGTTACTGGAAACTTAGCATAAAATAGAGCACCTGTGTTGCTCCATTCGTAGAGTTTACAGGTTCAAAATTTCGCAGACACAGATAATAGGGATGTATTGAAAAGGAAAACATGCTTGGCCATCCTTTCCTTCGGAGTGCCCTTGAGGGAGCGAGCACGTATGACTTGTGCTCAGTGAAGCCGTCGGGCTGGGACACAGCCCCCCAGCTCTAAGTGTGCTGTCAGAGCCTCCTAACAAGGGAGGACGTGAACATATCAAACCGGAGCTTCCTGCAATGTGCGGTATTTCCTGTGCTTGTGGATAAAGGCGAGGGGATAGCAGGAGGAGCAGTGAGGAGGGAGGGGTTGTCTGACTGTCTCATCTTTAGCGCTTGTTGGTAAGTTCAGCAGATGACAAGGTAGCAGCCTATGAGAAACAGCATCTTTTAAGGGATGAAAATATCTGCACTCACTCCCAATTGTTAAGGCGAGCTTCCCTTTCCCCGGAAGAAGTCCAGCCTTTGTGTTCCTTTTAAGTGTAGCTATTGTTGTGTTTTTTGTTTTATTTTGTTTCTAAAAAGGGCAGTGGCTCGATTTTCCGACTGTTATTCGAGTGAGGAGATGCACATTTTCACTCTTCCTAGTTCTTTGGTATCGACTTGAGCCCAAAATACATTTAAAAAAAAAACACCATGATTAACCTTACTGCAACTAGTTTGTGCCTTTGTGACCACAGGTTTAGGTATCTCTTCTCTCCATAAGAAATCCCTGTTTAGAGTTGGTTTTCTTCCCAAGAGACTTTGTAATATTGATTATTTTATTTCTATCCAGGATGTTACTACACCACAGGAAGCAGACACAGAAGGAGGTAAAAGAAACTAGCCTATGGTTCTGTTGTCTAGGACATTTATTTTGAAAGTTCATCTGGGCACCCGAGACAGGAAGGATACAATACATTTTAAAATGTCTTTGTCTCTGTCTTCATATTTACATTTATTTAAAATATTTGTAATGAAGTTAGTTCTACAGTGAATTAGCTTTCTACCTTAAAAACCTTAAAGATGTAGAGTCTAACAGCTCCTAATACCCTTATGTCAAAGAATACAGCTGTATCGCCTACTGGAGTTTTTCTTCACAGACCTGTTTATAGAGGGGTCATAAAAAATCTGATGCAAAGGTGGCAAAAAATTGATACTTGTTAAAGCTGGGTGGAAAGTACATGGATATTGGTCATCTGTTTGAAATGATTCAAAATAAAATATTTAAAAATAAATGGAATTTCAAGAATATATTTCAAAATATTTCAAGATATTTTAGAGGGAAGAAGACATTGTTCACTTGGGAGATTGGCTTCAAAATAGGAGCCATTTGAGATTTTGGAATAATCGTGATGATTCCTTAGTAAACAGGAAATAGTACTGGGATGATCAATGAGTGGAAATGAATAAATTGTTACATAGCTGGTGTGTTAGCATAATTTGAAACATGTTTTTGGGAGATGGAAAATGATACTTCCTCTGGGCAAAAAAAAAAAAAAAAGGTCGCTCTTATCTACTCTTTCCTGCTAGATATAAAATTTAGTTATGTATATTTGTAGTTTAAATCCTTGAGCCCTATCTCACTCCCAAAGTAAATTACAGAGCCCACAAACCTGGCATCAGCTGAAAGCAGTCAAAATGTTTGGCATAGGGTTGTATATAAGGGAAATAATACTTTAAAGACATTGCTTGGCATTTCTAACAATTAAACTCTGTTGATTTCTCACAACAGAGAAATCATGCAAAGATTACATGCTCTTATGACAATTTCTCATTGTTTCTTTTCTAGGCCTTACTTCTTGATTGCAGATGGTACAATTTTCTGAGATTTTGTTCATTTTGCTCCTGGGTTAGAATATCTAGCCCAAATTATAGATATGTAGTCCTTGTTTATCAACTGGTGATTTATTTGAACCCTGGGTCTTAGTTGCTCACTCCTTGTTGAGACAACAGAAAAATTGAGTAGCATTCTGCATGTCTAACCAGCACTGTTTTGCAGCCCGGCCCACTTGGGCTAGCAAAAGCTCAGGCTGGACATAACTCATTCAAGGAATTTTAGATTAGAGTCTTGGGCAGTGTCTATATGGCATCAAGTCTGCGTATTACAATAGAGAGGAGTATTTTTGTGGATCCTCTAGATGGCAGGACAGTTAAAACAAATACACCTCAGGAGCCTTTCCAGGAAGCGTGGGGAGGGAGAGCAAGGAGGGGTGGGATGAGAAGGGGACCTTCAGGCCAGCAGGGCTCCAGGCTTTCTATCTCAGCCCACACAGGGCAGGTCCACTTTTAAGTGCTTTCTCTTACTGGTCTATCTGAGATCTTGTTTGCAAGAATGTAACACTGCTAGAAAACGATAGGATAAAGGTCAAAAAAATCTTGTATTGTGCACACCAACATCAGACCAGAGATTTCTATGAAGACTTTGAATGCATTCGTCCACATACCCTGAGCATCTCCAGAGACTGGAGCTGACTCCACCACAACACACATGGTGACGGGTTCTAGAGTGATGCTGGCCTGCTTCAACACTCTTCTCACCTTAATTTCTATCAGAGGATCAGGTGCAGCATGGACTATAGCTTTTGTCCCTACTCTGAAAGAGATCACCACTGTTGGCATAGATATAACAGATAAATCTGATACGATAGCCCTCAGACTCAGAAAGGAGACTTGACTGAGATACCTGCATAGGTTCATTCCTTACATAGACACTGAGTGTAGACTCAACGTAAGATTTGCACATATGTCACTTCCCCATTCTCATCTTTGAGTAGAAGGGAGATGATAGCATTACTTCCGTTTCTTTTGCAAAATGCTTATCCAAATTCTCCTGTAAGCACCTTCTCATAGCAAGGTCAGTTTCAATCCTTCTGGACGAAGTTCTGGATCACAGTATGGTATGGCAAATGCAATTTCCATGTATCAAATACAGCAAAACTGTGAGGGATGAATTTGCTGTCCTGTATTTGTGCACCTCATAATATCAGGTAATATGCTTGACAGGTCTGACCTCTTAATAGCCACTATTTCTGTACAACCGCTCCAAAACGTTCCCCACATTGAGACTCTTTTGTGTTGGTCTTGGTTGTTTATTACCAGTGAGTTGAAGCTGAGGTGTATTTCAGGACCACTATTCTTCTGCCTGTTTAATGAGATTGTGCTTGAGAATGTATTAGGGTACATTTCCACATTGACTTGACTGTTGACTGACTAGTCCTGTGCTTACCTGGGGAATAGACAGATCAGTGAGGTGTGGCCCTTGTTCCCGCGGCCCTCAGCCATGAGGTTGCGGAGTGAGATAGGCAAGGTAAGCATATATGTAGATGTTCAGTGCAATCTAACAAGATGTTATAAAAGAAGTGTTACCAAAATGCTGTGGAAGTTGCTAGGCATGAAAAACTCTTCTGTAGATATTACCACAAGGTACCAGAAATTACTCCGTGCAGAGGACTGTGTCCTTGCAACACATATGAGGGGAGACGTGCAGTTGATGGAGGATTAAATGTTAGTGGCACCGTGTTCTGTACTAAGCCTGATAGATTTAGATCATCCACCAGCATATTTAATTATTGCACCAAGAAAATTCTATTAACAGCTTAAAGGTGTTTATTGGGATAACTGAACTGGAAGCTGTCTGACTTTTACTGCTTGAGGAGCACATTATTGGATGCTACATTCCTATAATGATAATCAGTAAACGAGAAGCCCACATGTTCTGATGATGACAACAGGGTGACATCAAACCGTGAGTCTGTCTAGGTGGTCATGTTCGGTCTGGATTCTTGAGCTCTTTCACTAACACCTCCGATACCATTTGAAAAGTGGAAGTTGGCAGGGTCTTCCAACAACTGTTGAATGATAAAGGGGTAGTAATTAACCAGTACATGGGACTGCAAAATGCTCCAGGAATTCTCTGGCACAGCATTGTTTCAAGCAAACTGTGTGACTCTAGACGATAAGGCTTCAGCTTGGCTTCTAGTCATTCGTGGAGGTTTTTTTGTTTGTTTGTTTGTTTGTTTGCATGTAATCTTTATGGCTCTGAGTAAATGACTGATATTTTGAATTGGGGCTACTGCAGCTAAGCAAAGGATGAACTGCACAAGTGCTCCCTGTGGGAGGATTGGTGGTTCTGCTCTGTCCTTTGCAGCCAGAGCTACATAAAAGATAAAAAGAGGTGAGATGGTCTGTGTCTGGAAGAGGAGCTCACAGTTTGTCTCCTTTGGTGTGCTTTAACTCCCAAATTGTTTTTATTTTTATTTTTTTTTTGCAAACTTTTGTTGAAGACTTTTATAGAACACACCCAATAGTTCTGCTTATTAAAGAGAGTCCTCTTCTTTTTTGAATTCATGTTTTCTTAAAAGAACAGTTACTAGCTTCCTCCTCACTCCCATGTGACAGTTCTGGCTTGTATGCCTCACACTGATTGATCTATGTCACGGATCACTTTACAGACTATCTGTAGGAGTCCCTTTCTCATTCAGACAGGTTCTGTCCTATTCTGAGTGTATTGATAATTTTCCCAGTTTCACAATTTTCACCTTTTCTGTTTGAACCAAAGTGGAGCTGTGCACCCCATCCCTTAGCTCTCCAAGTAGGAACCTTCCTTTACTGCCTGGTTGCTCACTGAGATTTTCGTCACTCCCACTTTATCATCCTCTGTGAATTTTATTAATGTGACGTTTACTCCCTCTTTTAAATTATTAATGAAGTAAACTGGGAAATGATACTTTTATCCTTCACAGTTGATGCTGTAAAAGTGACCGATGCAGTGCAAGCATCTTTCCCTCATTCAGCCCCTGCCATGCATCTCTTTAGCGTCTCCGTGAAATAGCTTGAAATGACAGTGTTCACATCTCTCTGGCAGCTAGTTCACACTGAGAGGGTATAATTATCTGTGTGATACCACAGCCGCTCACCGGCTCAGGTTGTGATGTCACAGCCAAGGATGATTCTCTCCCAGCAGGATGAAGCCGAGAGGAGATAAATCTCCATGCTGAACTGTCAACTTTCGTCAAATGGGGTCACTTCATGAAGAAAAATTAACCATAATAAGAAACAAATATACCACTAGTGAAGTATCCCGTTGAATTAAGCTTCAAAAACTATTGTATTATACTGGAATGAAAGAAATTCTTTCAAAAATTCTAAGGAAAAATGTGAAAGTTATAATCAGACATCAGTAAATATTTATTGAATTAAAAATATTTTGTAGGGCCGGTGCCTTTAAATTAAATGTTAACACTTAAAAATGAACTTCAGATGTATTTCTACTTTCAGATGCAAAATTATGTTGCTTGCTGTTTCAAAGATGACATACCAATCTAAAAAAGTCAGTAAAGACACTAAATGGATGTGTTTTATTTTGACCTATATCCTACTTTTGTATTTTCCTGGTTTAAATAGAAAGTTTATAGCTTTTGGATGATTTTAAATGAGGAGAATCTAATAAATATTATTGTAGGGACATAGTTACCAAAATGTTTGCTCCATTTGTATGAAAGGATCCAATAATACACCATACACAATCCTATTACTTTTATAGGATAATAATTTTATACTGTGTGTGTGCATAAAATAATTTTAAATTATGGAAAGAATTAGGCAGTCATTGAGTACTTCCCAAGCATGTTCGAAATCTCTTTACTTGTTAAATCTATCAACACACACACACACAAACACAAGCACACAAAGTCCCATAAATAAACCAAATCTTCAGGTACTAGCATAAAATTCCTTATCCGTTTGTACCCAATGAGATGCTAAAGTTGGAGCAGTTTTCAGCTTGAATCATTGATAAATGATGTCTTAAAAATTAGCTGTTTTTATTCTTTTTCACCAAAGTGAAGAAGAGAATGTAGATTATTCCAAATTGCTGTAGAGATTTTTTTTGAAAGCTGTTCTTTAAACCTCAGTAATCATTATTCAGGATGGATTATTAAAGAGAAAAACCTTGAATTAGATAGAGAGAATGAAGAGTCACTGGGACTGCTGCTGACCAGGGCGGAAGTGGAGGAGGGGCTGCCCATCCATTGTCATTAGGAGGTAAGTCACAGAAGCAAAGTCCCCATACTGGTGGGACAGGAGTCTTGGTGTACATTCCAGTGAGTATATAGAAGACTTCCAGGAACGTAATTTTATACCCTCTTCAGTTCTATTTATTAGAAACAAATTGAGCGTAATATTAATGTCATATTTTGGTCCAAGTTAATTAGGAAATTCTTTAATTATGAGTTGAAACATTAATATTTCTTACTTACAAAATCTGCATATTTTCAAAGGATGTCAGTTTATAAAATATATCATAATAAGAAGGAAAAAAGATGAAAAGTATCCTTAAGGGTTCAGGTAAGTCTCAGTGTAGATAAATAACAGTACTTTCAGTTAGGGCTGGCATACACAGTAAGTATCTTGAAATTTCTGAATAAACACTTTTTTCTGCAACAGATTGGTACTCTACACTGTTATTGCTTGTATTTAGATTGTTGCTTTCCTTTACTGGAAAATGATGGGTGAATTTCTGTAATGAATTTAAATGCATAAGATTTATGATATTTAAGGTTATTTATAGACTATCTCAAAAAAGTGATGGGATCATGC